TCTCTGGCACTCCTATACACCAACAATGAAAAATCAGAAAGAGAAATTAAGGAAACACTCCCATTTACCAGTGCAACAAAAAGAATAAAATACCTAGGAATAAACCTGCCCAAGGAGGCGAAAGACTTGTACTCAGAAAACTATAAAACACTGATGAAAGAAATCAAAGGTGACATAAACAGATGGAGAAATACACCATGTTCTTGGATTGGAAGAATCAATATTGTGAAAACGACTTTGCTACCCAAAGCAATCTACAGATTCAATGCAATCCCTATCAAACTACCAATGGCATTCTTCACAGAATTAGAACAAAAAATTTTACAATTTGTATGGAAACACAAAAGATCCCAAATAGCCAAAGCAATCTTGAGAAAGAAAAATGGAGTTGGAGGAATCAGGCTCCCTGACTTCAAACTATACCACAAAGCTACAGTAATCAAGACAGTATGGTACTGGCACAAAAACAGAAATATAGCTCAATGGTACAAGACAGAATGCCCAGAGATACGCCCTGCACATATGGGCACCTAATTTATGACAAAGGAGGCAAGAACATTCAGTGGGAAAAAGACAGCCTCTTCAATAAGTGGTGTTGGGAAAACTGGACAGTTACATGTAAAAGAATGAAGTTAGAACACTACCTAACACCATACACAAAAATAAACTCCAAATGTATTAAAGACTTAAATGTAAGATGAGACATTATAAAACTCTTAGAGGAAAACATAGGAAAAAACACTCTGACATAAACCACAACAAGATCTTTTTTGACCCACCTCCTAGAGTAGCGGAAATAAAAACAAAAATAAACAAATGGGACTTAATTAAACTCAAAAGCTTTTGCACAGCAAAGGAAACCATAAATAAGATGAAAAGACAACCCTCAGAATGGGAGAAAATATTTGCAAATGAAAGAACAGACAAAGGATTAATCTCCAAAATATACAAACAGCTCATGGAGCTCAATATCAAAAAACAAACAATCCAGTTAAAAAATGGGCAGAAGACCTAAATAGACATTTCACCAAGGAAGACATACAGATGGTCAAGAGGCACATGAAAAGATGCTCAACATCACTAATTATTAGAGAAATGCAAATCAAAACTACAATGAGGTATCACCTCACACTGGTCAGAATGGCCATCATCAAAAAATCTAGAAACAAATAAATGCTGGAAAGGGTGTGGTGAAAGGGAACCCTCCTGCACTGTTGGTGGGAATGCAAACTGATACAACCACTATGGAAAACAGTATGGAGGTTCCTTAAAAAACTAAAAATAGAACTACCATATGACCCAGCAATCCCACTACTGGGCATATACACTGAGAAAACCATAATTCAAAGAGAGACATGTACCACAATGTTCACTGCAGCACTATTTACAATAGCCAGGACATGGAACCAACCTAAATGTCCACTGACAGATGAATGGATAAAGAAGATGTGGCACAGGGCTTCCCTGGTGGCGCAGTGGTTGAGAGTCCGCCTGCTGATGCAGGGGAGGCGGGTTTGTGCCCCGGTCCGGGAGGATCCCGCATGCCGCGGAGCGGCTGGGCCCGTGAGCCATGGCCACTGAGCCTGCGCATCCGGAGCCTGTGCTCCACAACGGGAGAGGCCACGACAGTGAGAGGGCCACAACAGTGAGAGGCCCACATACAGAAAAAAAAAAAAAAAAAGAAGATGTGGCACATATATACAATGGACTATTACTCAGCCATAAAAAGAAATGAAATTGAGTTATAGTGAGGTGGATGGACCTAGAGTCTGTCATACAGAGTGAAGTAAGTGAGAAGGAGAAAAACAAATACCGTATGCTAACATATATATATGAAATCTAAAAAAAAAAAAAAAATGGTACTGATGAACCTAGTTGCAGGGCAGGAATAAAGAGGTAGACATAGAAAATGGACTTGAGGACATGGGATTGGAGGGCGAAGCTGGGGTGAAGTGAGGGTACCATCAACATATATATACTACAGAATGTAAAACAGTTGGCTGGTGGGAAGCAGCAGCATAGCACAGGGAGATTGGCTCGGTGCTTTGCGATGACCTAGAGGGGTGGGACAGGGAGGATGGGAGGGAGGCTCAAGAGGGAGGGGATATGGGGACATGTGTATACATATGACTGATTCACTTTGTTGTGCAACATCAACTAACACAGTATTGTGAAGCAATTATACTCCAATAAAGATCTATTAAAAATTTTTTTTTTTAAATGGATAAGCAACAAGGATCTACTGTATAGCACAGGGAACTCTGCTCAATATTATGTAACAACCTAAATGGGAAAACTAATTTGAAAAAGAATAGAAAAAAAAAGGTAGTGTATTTAAGTGGACAGGAATCCACTGATGATCCATAAAATGTATTCACACACACACACACACACACACACACACACACACACACACACACACACAAATCAATCAGTGTAATTCATCATATTGACAACAAAAAAGAGAGAAAAGTTATATGAGCATCTTGATAAACACAGAAAATTTTGATAAAGTTCAATACCACGCATGATTTTTTTAAAAAAACAAATAACTCCTACCAAACTAGAAAAGAAGGAAACTTTCTAAATCTGATAAAATTCTATCTACAAAGGACCTATAACAAGCATCGTAACTAATGGTGAATTATTGAAAGGTTTCTCCCAAGACTGAGAATGAGACAAGAATGTTCACCATCACTACTCCTATGTGACTGGAGGGCCCAACCAGTGCAAGGAAGCAGGAAAAAGGAACAAAAGGCAGAGGGATAGGAAAAGAAGAAATAGAATGTAGACAATCCAAAAGAATCTAAGGCAGACTCCTAGATTTAATAAATGAAGTTAGTAGGACCATGGATATATTGATCAATAAACAAAAATCAACTGAATTTCTATAAATCAGAAACAAACAGAAAATACAATTTTAAAATTACTGTTTAAAACACCATCGAAAACATGAAATACTTAGGAATAAATCTACTAAAAGATGTGAAAGACCTTTTAGCTAAAAACAGCAAAATGTTATAGAGAAAAAAAATTTAAAGACCTAAACACAGAGAGAGATATACCATCTTCATGGATTGGAAGACTCAACATTATAAAGATGCCAATTCTCCCCCAAACTGAACAGTAGACTCAACTCAATCCCATTCAAAATCCCAGTGTGTGTGTGTGTGTGTGTGTGTGTGTGTGTGTGTGTGTGTGTAGACATTTATAAGTTGATTCTAAAATTTGTATAGAAATAGCCTAAAGTAGCCAAGGCATTCTTAAAAAAGAAGTGATGGGATGTTGCTTCTCAAGATCAAGTTATAAAAAGACTATGCTTTCATCTTGGGTTCTCCCTCTCCCTCCCTCCCAGAAAGCTTACCCTGGGCGAAGCCAGCCACCATGTTGTTAGGCAGCCCTGTGCAGAGGGCCACATGGTGAGGCCGTCAAACCCAATGAGTGAGCTTAGAAGTGGGTCACCCCTGGCCAAGCCTTCAGATGAGACCACAGTCCTGGCCAACAGCTGATGATCATTCCAGTTTACCTAATACAGAGGGGTTTCCCAGGACATGGGACTTTCAGCACTAAATCCGGGACAGTCCCGGGCAAACTGGGATGGTTGGCCACCCTCCTGACAGCTTGGCTGCATCCTCATGAGAGACCTTGAGCCAAAGGCACCCAACAAAGCTGTACCCAAATTCCTGATGTTTGTTCTTTTCAGCTGCTGTTCTGCGGTACTGCAGTGTGCAGCAACAGATAACTAGGACAGCACTGCACAAAATGTGATGGTAAAACGGAGGATGCACATACGACAAGGTGCCCAACTTCAGTGCTCATCAGTGAGATGCAAATTAAGATTACAACAAGCTATCAAGACACGCCCACCAAAACAGCTGAAATTTTAAAAGACAGAGAACACCCAGTGCTGGCAAGGATGTGGGGCAATGGGAGCTCTCATACATCGCAAGTGGGAGTAGGAGATGGTACAGCCATGTTGGAAAACTTCTGGAAGTATCTACTAAAGCTAAATATACACACATTCTATGTCCCAGCAATTCTACTCTTAGATCTCTATCAAGAGGATGCATCATCCGTCCACCAAGAGACACATAAAAGAGTGTTTGTAAAACAATGGTCAGAAGAACCTAGGGGCAAGACGGGAATAAAGATGCAGACCTACTAGAGAATGGACTTGAGGATATGGGGAGGGGGAAGGGTAAGCTGTGACAGAGTGAGAGAGTGGCATGGACATATATGCACTACCAAACGTAAAATAGATAGCTAGTGGGAAGCAGCCGCATAGCACAGGGAGATCAGCTCGGTGCTTTGTGACCACCTAGAGGGATGGGACAGGGAGGGGGGGAGGGAGGGAGATGCAAGAGGGAGGAGATATGGGAACATATGTATACGTATAGCTGATTCACTTTGTTATACAGCAGAAACTAACACACCATTGTAAAGCAATTATACTCCAATAAAGATGTTAAAAAAAAAAAAAGAGCCAGTAAAAAAAAAAAAAAGAGTGTTTGTAGCTGGACAGGACCATGGGGATCAGTCTTCTGCCAGCAACAGAGGCCTCTGTGGGCCATCATCCTGCACTTAATGGAAATCTGGGCAAAAAAAGAAACCACGTTGGAGCTATTGATCAAGAGAGCAGAAGCTGAGGTCTTCAGCCACCCCAACGGAGAAAAGATGAGAGACTCCTGTTCTCCCAGGCCCCTGGCCCTGGCTGAGAACTGGTATTTTCAAAGTGTTTTCAACCCAGGGAAACTCCTATTCAAGTAAACTCTCAGGCTGAATCTGGGTATATAAAAATGACAAAAATAGAGGAGCCCTGGCTGACGTGAAGGCCCTGCCTCCTAGGCCTCCCTTACTAGCTATGCGCCAACTGGGCAGACCCCGATTCCCCCCCGGGAAACTCAGGTACTTATCTGCCAACCCCAAGTGTCCTGAGGCTGGGTTTGCCCCCTTTCCCCGACCCCAGGCCCCAAGTCCCCCTCCACTCACCTCAGCTCTGGGCCTTGGACTATACCAGCCCGTCGTAGAGGGACAGCGCCTGCACGATGGACGGGTCCGCCTTGGATCCTTCTTGGAACTCCTGCAGCGTCAGCTTCCCGTCGGCATTCTGCAAGCAGAGAGAGGAGGGTGAAGGTGAGGGGACAACCAACCTCCCAGGACAGGGGCCTCTGCCCTGGGCCCTGGACACTCCCTCCCCAAGCCCAGCCCAGGGCTGCTTCCAAAAGAGCTTCCACAGTTAAGTCAGGAGGGAGGCAAGGCAGCTCATTAGGTGGGAGGGGTCAGGCATAGACAGACGCGGGCACTTCCTGCTTGGGTGACCTTGGGCACACGACCCACCTCTCTGGGCCCTTGTTTCCTCATCTGGAGACTGGAGAAAATTGAGCGGCTTCTTCAGGGCACTGAGGTGAGCACTCCTTGAGCTCAAGCTGTGTAAAGTGTTCCGCAGACCGGAAGCACCCGATAACTCCACAGTTATCATCCTCACTGCTGTTCATCCCCACAGAGGGTGTTAATCCCACAGGGCTGAGAGCCTGATGCATTTCTCTGGGGTCACCCTTGGAAGGGCATTTAAGCCATCCCCCAGGAGACCTACAAGGAGGCTGGACAGAGCCCACGTAAAGGGGCTTTAGTGGGTCTCTTGCAGAAGGAAATGGCTTGGGCCAGAATCCCTTCCCCTGGAGCATCTTGCAAGGAAACCCGTGAGAGCAAAAGAAAAAGGCCTTGGAAGCCACCCACAGCCTGCACCCAGAAAGAGAGATCATGACGAGGTTTCCACAAGCTCCGCAGGCAGATCTTGAGGGTCGTCTACCGTGGGCCCCGCTCATGCTATGCGTGCGCTTGGTCTCATGGGGTCCTCACAGCCGCTCTAAGAAGAGGGGCTGGTCTGCTTTCTCTGGTTCCTTTAGGTGTAAGGTTAGATTGTTTATCTGAGATTTTTCTTGTTTCTTGAAGTAAGATTATATTGCTATAAACTTCCCTCTTAGAAGTGCTTTTGCTGCATCCCACAGGCTTTGGGTCATCGTGTTTTCATTGTCATTTGTCTCTAGGTATTTTTTTATTCCCTCGTTGATTTCTTCAGGGATCTCTTGGTTATTTAGCAGCGTATTGTTTAGCCAAAGAGGGGCTGCTCTTATCACCATTTCACCAGCGAGGATGCTGAGGCTCAGTCAGCTATCCAGGGCCCCCTGGCTGCTAACTGGGGAAGCCAGATTTACACCCAGTCTGACTACAGCGTGGACTTTGCTTCCCAAAATAAGGGATGTCTGAATTGGGGGTGGGGGGGATTCAACACCTTTGTGTTAAATAACATTGAACCACCCTGCGAGAAGTTAGTATTCTCTGCTGCACTCTATGGACACATCTGATTATTATCAGCAGCCCAGCGTGGTCTGCCCAGCGTGGTCTGCCCAGCGTGGTCTGAGCCTCTGTGTCTTTACTGCCTCTCTGACATATGATCTCACTTTTTTAAATTAAGGAAGTAAGGCCTCAGGCTCAAAGCTTTCAGGGCAGGCACCTGTACCTAGCCAGAATGTAATAATAAGCCCAAGGTCACTGTTCATTTGAATTCTTTTATTGAAGGCAAGCAATAGTGGGTTTCCTTACCATCTTGATATCAAATTCTAGTTTAAAACAAAGTTACTTCCAGTTTAAAAAAAGGTTTGGTATAAAGAAGGGTTTCTTTTTTTTTTTTTTGCGGTACGTGGGCCTCTCACTGTTGTGGCCTCTCCCATTGCGGAGCACAGCCTCCAGATGCGCAGGCCCAGCAGCCATGGCTCACGGGCCCAGCTGCTCCGCGGCATGTGGGATCTTCCAGGACCAGGGCACGAACCCATGTCCCCTGTATCGGCAGGCGGACTCTCAACCACTGTACCACCAGGGAAGCCCTAAAGAAGGGTTTCTTAACCTGGGGTCTGAGAACAGAATTCAGCAGGCCTGTGAACTAAAATGGGAAAAAATGAGGACTTTCTTTTCGCTAACTTATAACTGAAATTTAGCTCTTCGTTCCATAATGAATCTAGGTAACGATCTCCCACAGAACCAGCAGTACCTGTGGCTTTGTTAACTGTGGGGATCGAGGCATTTTTATAACGCTCCACGGTTGCTGTAGGCATCACCTGTACATATCATCGGCTCAAAATTGTGGGGTGGTTAAACCACCGTAACTCATCACAAGCTCATATACCACATCACATATTCTTTTAAAAAAATTTTTGATAGCTGCATTCCAAAATAGCTTCCTTCTTAATCCTGTGGATTTTATCTGATGCACTTAAAACCATTACTCTGAGAAGTCCACAGACAACTCCAGAATGCCCAAATTTCTTGTCCATGGCAAAAAATTTAAAAGGTTAAGAATCTTGGGACTTCCCTGGTGGCGCAGTCGTTAAGAATCCGCCTGCCAGGGCTTCCCTGGTGGCGCAGTGGTTGAGAGTCCGCCTGCCGATGCAGGGGGCACGGGTTCGTGCCCCGGTCCGGGAAGATCCCACATGCCGCAGAGCGGCTGGGCCCGTGAGCCATGGCCGCTGAGCCTGCGCGTCCGGAGCCTGTGCTCCGCAACGGGAGAGGCCACAGCAGTGAGAGGCCCACGTACCGCAAAAAAAAAGAATCCGCCTGCCAATGCTGGGGACATGGGTTCGATCCCTGGTCCGGGAAGATCCCACATGCCGCGGAGCAGCTGGGCCCGTGCTCCACAACGACTGAGCCTGCGCTCTAGAGCCCGCGAGCCACAACTACTGAAACTTAGTTGATCAGAGAGAAAGTGCTGGACAAATTTACTTAAAACCCTGGATGTCTGAAGGCAACGGCTACCAACCGGACCAGTGGACGTCACACCAGGTGTGCTGCCTGCCTCGAGCCAGGCGTGTAGGTGGTCAGTGGCAGCTGCGGGGGGGGGTCTCACCTTGTCCATCATGGCGAAGATTCGGTCCACCCGCTTCTCGGGGGTGTTCTCTTCCTCGGGGAGTTCCACGGTGTTCCCCTGCCAGGGACAGACAAGGTGGGGGCTGGCTCCTGGCACTCTGGGCTTTGGGCCCTTTTCCCAAAAAAAAATATGCTCCCCAGACCTGGGCAGGTTCCAGATGAGGACCCCCTCTGCCTCCTACTCCCCGCAATGTCCCCCGCCATCTGTAATTCTGCTCCAGAACCTCGCACCCACCCGAGCCCCCATCTGCCAGGCCAGCTGGAGATGTGCTGAGCGGCCCCAGGCAGTGACCCTTACCTGGTCAACGCTTGCCCCGGTGAGGAGAGCAGTCCCACGGGGGG